GAGAGAGAGAGAGAGAGAGAGAGAGAGAGAGAGAGAGTACTGTTGGTTCATTTGGGATCAAGCTTAGAAAGACCTGCTACTAATACACATGCGGCAGTCAATGGAAAGCGAGTCTCACCTTCCTTGACACGGTTTATGAATCTAAGAAGGTGAACAACTACATATCAGTACATTAATCTTTGCAATCATGAGGATGATGCATCCGGAAATGAGGGAGCCACCCACCCTGCGCTGCCTTCTGAGAACCCTTCCAAGTCTCGAGTTGGTGCCTCTTTCTCTGGCAAGTGAGAGAGGGCGACTCACCGAGAAAGCAGAGAAGTCTCTGTTACAGTATCAAAAGGAACGTCAACTGGGCGTTTGCATGCTCAGAGAAATCATCTACAGTGTCCTCAGACAACATGCACTATCGACGATTCTTTCTTGACTCTAAATGTGAATCCCTTGACACACCAAACCCACATTTTATTGGCATGCAACTTTGTGATCATTGGATCGGTCAGTCGGTGAATTAGTTCATCTTCCCTTTAGTCTATTTCACTTCCACAGAGTGGTTAGGAAGATCTTGCATGCGATCTACATAATAAGAAGGAATCAGAGCACATGACAACTTCTTAGAAGATGCGTTGTTCCATTACCGATCTATCATCGGTCATCACAAAATTTCCTTACGTAAACTGCAATCATGTAATATCTTTCATGTATGCTGCTTTCCTGTAGTCTTAATCTTCTAATTTCATTCCCAGCTCTGTTTTGGGGTACATTATGTCTGCTTTGGCTGTAATTTTCTTGTGCAGGTAATTAAAATGGCAGTACAAACTGCGTCAAGACATCATCTCATCCCAAATTATCTTAGAAGAATAAGTAGATTTCTCACTTCTCAAAACCAATCTGAATCCATCATAATAACTGGAACAGAGTGTCGAACCAGATCAAACTCTTGGATTGAAAATGAACTGTTCCTTGGGACATGCTGATGTAACCGGTAAGGTCTATGAGAAAAGTCCTTGGTAGATAGATCTATCGGCACTGTTCTTAGAGCAGGACGCAGAACAATAAAATAGGAATTCCAGAGTGATTCCTTCTTTGACTCTTGCTCGGCAACTTGTCTGATTGGTTAAGAAGCGACTGCTTGCCGTGACACAAACACGCATGGAATTCTGCTCGACATGGAACTAACCCGAGCTCTCTCGTCAACCATGGTAGCGACTACTTTGCGCCTCTGCTGCGTCGGCGACAGCAGTTCCAAGCTTGCGATCTTGTCTTCTTTCTGGTTCTTGGAGTCAAGATTAGAAAACCACATTGAATAATGGAGCTATGTTCCTGAAAAGAAATAAAATACGACTTTGCACCATCTGATGACACACCCAAGAAACAAACTTCTTCGGCTGAGTTGACTTTACCTGATCGTTCGAGTGGGGCTAAAAGCATCTCCATAGCTGGGCAATATCCTCTTTGTCTTTATTGGAGATGGGCGCACCAGTTGTTGATCACACGGCTACTGTCAAGAGCTGTTGTTGCAAGAGATATCCCAAAAAAGACGGAGAAATACTTGTCTGCAAAGAAAAAGATGTCGCAAAGAGAATTGAAGTTTGGCCTCTCTAGACTTGTTGTGGCCTTTCTCACTTCGAGTGACTGATGGAAGAGAGTGAAAGATGCAGCGTTAAAAGGTGAATCGAGAGCTGCATAAGAAACTAAGAGATCGGATGTTGTTGTATAGAGTAGTTGGTGAACAAACCTGGTCTCTTTGAGAATAGTCAACGGTGCTTGATTGGAGCCCACAAGGAACAGCATGCAAGTCAAACGAGACAGGGCAAAGTTGGTGTAGAAAGAGAATAACATGATTAGCTCCAGTATGAATCACTTTTATGGTGGAGATAAAAGCAATTTTATATTTGTATGGGTGATGAAGCATCGGGTTCAATATTCTTAAGAATTTAATTGGCTAATGACACATCATTATAAAAAATTAATTAGATGTTAAGGAAGAGTATATTCTACTCATTTCTAGATTACCTTCCACCTTGTAGTTCCAAATAATCTATATAAAAAAAAAATTTAAACAAAATAAATAATATTTTGATTTAGTCCCCTATTTGACTATTAATTTGGAAGGATTCAATAGTTGAGTTTAAATATTTTGGATTAGTAATTCGAGTTTAATAAGTTAATAGATTAATGGTAAGGTCATTTAGTCTCACATTGGTTAAGGAGTACGGGAACTAAGTGCTCATAAGTTCGCCAAGTCTCCTTTACCCTCAAAGGTGTATTTTGGAGTTTACATGTTTCAAAAAGATAAAATCGTACGAGTACATCCATCGTCCAAAATGGATAATTCCTCACGAGCCTATGGGCTGCACTGGACTAAGCATTTTGTATTAACTTGGAAGGATTCAATAGTTTAGTTTAAATATTTTGTATTAATAATCCGAGTTCAATAAGTTAATAGATTAATGATAAGGTCATTTAGTTAAGGAGTACAAGAACTAAAGGCTCATGAGTCCGTCAGGTCTCCTTTACCCTCAAAAGTGTATTTTGAAGCTCATATGTTTCGAAAAGGATAAAATCGTATGAGTACGTCCATCGTCTAAAGCGGGTAATTCCTCACGAGCCTATGGGCCGCACTGGACTAAGCATTTTGATTCTAGACTATATTGAAAATGGGTAAAGATTAAGGTTGGGATCAAATGAATATACTAATATTATATTAAATTCAAGTATTTTGGATAAATGATTATGATAGAAATTATTAAGTCTTGTAAGAATGACTTAATTTTGATTCAGGAGACAAATCCCTTTTATTTTTGAAATTATCTTTATAGGATACAATTATTAATAAGTTGCATGTATGGAAGAAGATTATTGAGAGATAGCGTAATAACTTGACCATAGCTTAGCACCCAAACATTGGGCATGATACCATGGGCTCATGTCCAACTTGGCAACTAATATAATTACATAAACAAATGCATAATGATTTGATGCTTCATGAAATATATGCGGGACATATCAACAAGTAGGGAAAGCATAATTTGATTAGGCATGCATGGCTCAACCATCAACATCCAACCAAATTGACTTGAACATTCCACAGACCTGTTCTAATTTGTTCACAAGATTACCTAAGTATCAGTACAAGCATAGCCTGAGAAAGATGTGCTACTCCATGGAGTTAATCTCTCTATCCTAAGCTAATTATATGCAAAAGCTTGAGTGATAACTAAAATAACTCCATGGAGTTAATCTCTTTATTTATATTTCGTCCATTGGGACTTTTTTTTTTGGGGCACCCTAATTATAAAAAACAAAAAGAAAACATTCCTTATATGAAGAAGAAATATCCTCATATTTGATTCGGAGAATAATAATTCTTTTGATGAAATATTTGACCGATAGACTTTCATCTTTTTAAAATAATATATTCAACTACGATTTGTGACTTCAATCGTAAATAATGTTATTGTTTTTATTTTTTTTCACATCGAGAAATCGAGAATACCGAACTAGATTTGGAGATTATTGACGATGTTGGTATGTGATAATTAATAAAAATTTATAAAAAATATTTTAAATTAGTAAAATATTATGTAAATAAGAAATAAATAAAACGATCCCACATCAATGAGCTATAAGGTTTTGTTTCTAAAACTAGTATTCATAGAACCAGCAATCATAAGTTTCTGAATGCAAGGAGAGAACATGAAATGTATAGCTTTGAACGCAAAAGCACTTCTTATTCTACTGCATGGCAGCTATTTGATTTGGACAGAGGCAAAAAAGCATATGTGTCTCACACTGTTTATGTTTTTTTCTACATTCAAACAAAAACACACTATGTTTGGTGGTAACGGATGTCAAATTTCAGAGTTAATTTACTCCAAAATAAAGTTTCCGTTTTGAACAATTGAAGGAGAAAAATCAAATCCTTCATTCTTGTTTTTCTCTTTACATTAACTATCCATAATAATTGATTTGCGAAAGAAGTTATTAACATTCTGATTAATCTGATCTAGACTCGTATATGTAGGATTGTTCGAGATATATTCGAGGTAAAAACATCGAGCTCCCGAGGTATCACCTATGCGAAGATCAAGATCGGATAAGTTTTTCGACTCGATCTCTTCGATGCACAAATTAGTAATGTGATGTATATAAGTGTAAACATAAGTGGTCAAAAAATATTTACCCTTTTATTTTATTAAAAATAAGTTTTTATATCTGATTATAAAAAAATAAAATATTTTATAGAATATTATACGAGGAGATAGTCTCTAATCGTCTCTAACAATCTCCTCTTAAGCTTCTCTTATCCACGTAAGCAACAAGGGATAGATAATTTATAATAATATATTTTGCTTTCTTATCTTTAGTTTGGGTTCTCCATCGAACCAAATTGATTTTTTCTCCTTTTTATTATTATTATTATTATTATCAATCTTGATCGTCGATTTCATTCAATGTGATAAAATTGATTTGATTTGACTCAATTTTAATTTTGTAAACAAAATTCGAAAATATTATTTTGATATTGTTGTGAAGGCATCGTTCATGTAAATATCATTTTGATGTTGTGTCGAGCTTACAACACTCTTTAAAGATTCAAATAATTCCTGACAATGAGAACTGCATACACAGAGAGAGAGAGAGAGAGAAAGAGGACAAAGGTGAATTGGAAAGGGACAGTCCTTTCAACACAGAGTAAGCTGACACAGCCTTAAAAGAGGACCCACCCTTATGTGATGGCGACTCCACATAGCCATCACCACTTCCATTTCGTCATGTGCCTTCCAGTTTCAAACACACCCCCCCCACAGTATCTTCTTTTAAGTTATCCAAACATTGATTTGGAAAGTAGTTGCTTGGATGGAAAGAAGATGCTCAAGTTAATGGGGGACAACACATCCCACTTATCGTATCCTAATGCAACAATCTGGAGAAGAAGAAGACGAACCAGAAACTTTGAGATTCTTCACTACATGATGAGGTGCAGGGCTAAGCTACAGGATTCCCAAAGCCGAGCACTGTGAAGACCATGGCCAAGTGGAGTACTTGGTGAGGACCGAGGATTCAGTGGAGGAAACAGTGCGTGGCTGTGTTGATCCCAACACGGCCACAGATCACAATGGTGAGCCCCCCCCTCCCCCCCAGGAAAGCCAAGCTTGCGACACAAAAGGCATACGGAGGAATGGTGGATTTCAAAGTCTTGTTCCATTCTCTGGAACAATAAATATTTAAGGACCATGGGGTCACTCCGGTCAAATGATCACCCCAATTGTCAAAAGCAAGGTCATCATGCGGC